GCCAGTGAGTCCATGACTGTGTCTGCGATGGGGTACCCCAGTTGGTGGCTCGAGGAAGTGGGGTACTTTGGGCCCAAGGCAGCGAACGGGGTGGCGGTCACGGGTGCGCTCGTGCTGGGGGTGGTCACGGTGACGGCGCTGGCCGTGGGGCTGGGGTTCTGGCTGGGCCGTCGCACGTCCACCGTCAAGTCCAAGGGCTATGCCTTTATCAAGTAGTTCGTTTGATCGTTGGTTTCACAGCATAACTTTGTAAGACGAAGAATATGTTCATTTGCGGCTTATAACGAAGTACTGGTCGTGTTATGACGAAGCATACGACCACTTCAACGTAGCTGAATCCATGGACTGGAGAACTGGACCGATAAAATCACGTGTCTAGACGTCGTTACACAGCCAAGTGATCCGTCAATAACCACACCACCAGCTAACGGGACTACTGGTAGATTGTGTTATATGGTCTTGTGTCATTTCACTATTTTTCGTGTTTAGCCAGGACCTACCGGGTAGCCAGCTCTACCAATGATATCTAGCTGGCGGCTAGAAATGCAATCAGTACTGTATATACAATCGTTTAAACGTTGTAGAACGCAAATCTGCTCTGTATGATGTACAGGGACCGGTTCACTTGCGAACTACTTCAAAGTACCTCGGATACAGTCAAATAGTGATATATCATTCCTTAACGCCACCACAAAGCCACTTCAAGTTCAATTGAAGCGTACGTAGCAACACACATCATACGTTGAGCTACTCTACTTGACAAGGACGTAGCCCTTGGACTTGACGGTGGACGTGCGACGGCCCAGCCAGGACCCCAGCCCCACGGCCAGCGCCGCCACCGTGACCACCCCCAGCACGAGCGCACCCGTGACCGCCACCCCGTCCGCTGCCTTGGGCCCAAAGTACCCCACTTCCTCGAGCCACCAACTGGGGTACCCCATCGCAGATACAGTCATGGACTCACTGGCAAAGTCCGAGAAGATGGACCCGTCGTGGAACCGAGTGACGACGTCCACGAACAGCGCGTAGAACGCCTCGTGGGCGGACGTGGCAAACTTGTCGCTGGCCGCAGTCAAGTGGGCCACCAGGGCCACATCGCCCTCCCTCGCCAAGATCGGTCAGTGCCAACTAACGTTACACGGGACAACACAATCGTTCATTATCTAACGGGTTGCTGTTTTGTGTGCAAAGTCATCATAGCGAGGATAACTGCCCCGCGGAAGGATAAGATGGCGCGTCGACCCAACTGCATGGGTCTTCTGTGGCACTTTGGCAATGCGAAAGTCGCACATACTACAGTCGTTTGGTTGTGTGGTCATTGATGCACCACTGGCTGACGCCTACTCACCGTAAGTAAATACGTACAGCTACGGTACACTAGTGATCGAAACTTGGCGCCAACCAGTATGGTCGTGCAGTGGTCTGCATCTTGCATCGTTGCCGCAGCCACGTTGGAGCTAGCGGCAACGACGCTGAATATGGACATGATCCACAGCATGTTTTTCGGTCAATGACCGAGCCAGTACTGTACACTGTACTTCGACTTTAACGTTGGAGCGAATCAGATTTTCGCCGGATGGTTTGGTTAACGTTAAAAAGCCTTGATTTTGACGCCCAAAACCCCTAAGCAAATATGAATGTACACTATTAACTGTAAAGTTGTGTACTATTATAGTACTCGTATGCATACTACATTATTTCATGAGAAACCACACTATTACGAGTTTTTCGATGGGTATTAATTTATGGGGTGGATCGGATCATACAGAGCGCCATGTCTTTGGTCGGCAACTACAGCGACTCGGACTCAAGCGGCTCCGACGATGATGTGGAGGTGAAAGCTCAGCCTTGTGCAAAGAAGCCCATTGCCTTGCCTTCTGTGGACGATCTATTTGCGGACACCACCGTCGGCAAGAAGACGTCCCTCGCCGCCTTTGCTGGCGCCCCTATCCGACCCGTCACAACCACAACGACGCCCACGGCCAAGCGATCGTTGGACGCCGGGAGCGATGCGTCGATTGATGGCACAAAGATTGCAAAACGAAAAGTCCGTTCACTTGTACCACCTCAACTGCGACGACCGAATGTGTCCACCGAAGATCTCAGGTATGTACAACTAGTACCTTCAATCGCTATGGTCGAGTCGTAGGCAACGAAACCAGCATTCTTATTCCTTCTGCGTCGTGTAGTGCGTGGAACACGGAGAAGACCATGAAGCAGCAACAGCAGCAGACTGGGAAAGCAAGCAGCAGAGTGTCGTCAACGTGACCAATGACACCAACCTTCCGAGCTCCATGCATAACACACGCTGACATGCTTACTTCGCACGCCACACCACATTAAATATAGCTGCATTGGCTTATCACTTTCCACATTGCTTTTGTCTCCTCGTCCCATGATAACGGAAAAGTCTATTCGGTGGCAGACCCAACAGTACCTGGATCGGTGGCTGTTGGTTGCTGTTTCAGCGCACCTTTGACGGGGGTGGTTGGAGTGGGTCCCAGCTGGGACGACTTGACTGCATTCAGCAGCGTCCGAATGCCTTCCAGCTTCGCTTGAAGCACTTGGACGCGGTTCGGAAACTCGCGCAACCGCAGGGCGTAGTCCACTAGTGGGGACTGCGATTCATCTAGCGTTGCGTCGTCACCGGTTCCCGTGAGCGTCTCCGTCAGGGCCTTGATCTTGCTGTGCAGTTGTTCTTGCGTCTCGAGCAGCATCGACACGTACTGGTCGCACTTTTCGACTTTCGGCCACATCGACATGTACAGTCCCACGGCGAACTCCTGTCCCGCCATCTCTGGTGCGATCTTCTCGACACCAACAGCGGCGACGACATCATCACTCCTCGCCTCCTCAGAAGGCTTTACGTCGTCGGAGCTGGACAGTCCTTGCACAGTCGCCATGGATGTTCGGTCGCTCCGAAATCTCGAGGTCCAAATCGCACCTGCCGAATTTCGTGCTTTCGCCGTCCAGGGCCCGAATTAATATATTCTGCACCCCAATTAAATCAATTCGATTAAATATAACTTGATGAATGCATTCCGTGAAGCCAATCCTACAATTTATATCGGCCACGTATTATATTATGATTCCCTCAGTTGAACGACATACTTGAAACCTCTTTGTTTGATTGGTGAAGTCAGTCATTTCATCCATGGTTGTGAAACAATTCAGCATTTGTCAACATGTCTAATGCACGTACTGTACTGCAGGACATCAGTCTCGTAAAGCTCTCGTTTATGGAGCAGCCAGCGCACACACCGACGACGTTGATGTGAACTTGGGGCCAGTCTATAGTACAGTGTCGCGGGGGCTCTACCACCTCGAACGGCATGAGGTATCGATACGTCAAAGTGTTGGCCTCTATAGATTGTGGAATTGCAAATGTGGCGTGCGTGGTACAGTTTCCTTGTGCACGTTGTTTACGGTAGCTTACACAACGGTGCGCGGCGCGCAGGAAGAGGCAATTGTACGCATTCTACCATACCTACCCAGTGCAGCAAGACCTACGTGAGAGCAACCTCGACGTTTATCGCAACGAAGCAGTTGAAGCATCCATCCTCAGACTTGATTCTTGTTCAGGACAACGCGACAGACTGTAACTGCCGTAAAGATTGTTCGACACAGTATACTTCGAACTTCGTTTTTGCACGGGTGGATTGCGTTGAGTGGCTGAAAAACGTAGATCGAAGGTGCATATCCGGATATCTGTAGTCCGGATAATTTGATGGTGGATTTCACAGACCTATCCCACACTGCTGCTTGTTGAGGGTGATGACCGGCACGAACTCGCGGAGTCTGCATGGCCACGCGTACCGCCCGCAGCCGTCGGCGGCGGCGAGTGGCGGGAATCGAAGCAACAGCATGCGTGGGCAACAGGCTCCGTACACGCACAGTGACAAGGACGAACAACTGTACAACCTCGTCAGTGACTTGAGCAACGCCTGTCGCAAGGACAGCAATGCGAATGCGCTCAAGGATTACAACCTGATCGAGACGTTGGAAAAGAGTGCCAAGGACATTCTTGCACGGCGCAATAGTCAAGACCCGGTTGGCGGCAACAACATCGACGTGCCCCCCGACTCAATCCAGAAGCGCCGCCGGTTGTCGGTCGAGGCTAACGACGACAGCGACGAAACCGCGTCGCCGTCGACCGCCAACACGACCCCGCGCTTCCAGACGATCAAACGTCCTGTGGAAAACCCCCCCAAGCGCTACAATATGCCTACGTTCTTCACGTCCATGCCGCCGCGCCAAGGGAGCAACGGGACGCTCGCCACTCCTCCTTCGTCGCAGTGTTCAGAGCCAGAACCGAATGCATCATCGAAACCATCGGTGAAATCATCGGCCACCGTCGACTTTCAGGAGTTCTCCGACAACGAAGACAATGACGTGCCCTCGTTTATGCGAGAGACCATTTCGCGCGAGACCTATTCTCGAGAAACGGCCGTTTACACGCGGGAAGCGTTGTGCATGGACGACTTGTCCTTGGACGAGATCAGTATGATTGCCCCTGGACAAGAAGACGTCCACCGCAAGCGGCAGCATGACGCCATGGCCAGCCACGACACCACCAAACGTCCAAGTGCTGCCCCTCAGGTACATACCAAGCAAAGCTCGATATCTTCATGACTTTCAGTACCTGTGACACTGCGTGGGTGTGTAGCCGATGGACATCCAAAGCATTATGGACCAAGCCAAGGGCTCTGTGGACCCTGTCTACACCCACAGTGCAACGTCGTCGTCATCCTCTTTGTCGAGGGAAGCCCCGTCGTCGTCATCTGCGACGTCATCCTTGTCAGCATCGTCGTTCTCGTCCATCAACGGAAAAGAACCCGATTTTGTGTACACGCATTTGGGCTCCAAGCTCAAGTCCGACCCGCGGTCGCGCAGTGGGTCCAAGGACCGATCCCGGCGCGGGTCGGTAGACGACAAGCGGCGCCAGAATTCGATGACAGCATCCAAGCTCATTTCCATCAACATGCGATCGAACCCCACGTTTTGTGCCAACTCATCGACGACGACTTTGCAAACGTCATCACGAGCTCAGATGCGGTCGCAAACGATGCTGGAAACTTCAACCAGTACAAGTTGGCCCATTGGCAAAACCTCCAAGACATTATCATCCACTGCCTCGTCGGTGTCCAAGCCCGCGGCATCATCGCAACCTGCAGTCTCCACCCCCGCCAAGACCTCCAAGACACTATCATCCTCCTTCATTGCCTCGTCGTTGCAACAATCGTCCAAGCCAGCGGCGGCATCATCGCAACCCGCCAAGGCGATTAAGACCCGCACCTCCACAACGTCTTCCACCGTGCCGACTACGACGACCCCCCTTCCGAAAGAAGTGACTGTGGTTCGGCGCGACGTTAGCAACAAGCCAGACGCTACCAGTGTGAAGCCACCCCGGAAAGAGTTTTCATTGGATGATCCAATCTTGGATCAACAGCCTCGGCCCGTCGAGGTGCCCGCGACGGTCGCGGTACCAGCCCCAGCCCCTCCATCGGTAGAAATGCTACAGAAACTCGAGCAGTTGGAACTGCAGCTGGCGGCCAAGAACGCCGAGTGCGCGCGCCTCGCGACCGAGTTGTCGAGTCAGGACGCACAGTGGAAAGTGCAGTTTGCCGCATCGGACACGGCGTACAAGGGGCTGGAGGCGTCGGTGGCGGCGTTGGCCACCGACAAGCAAGCGCTGACGGCCCAGTTGGCGAACCTGGAGGCGCGCATCCCGTCGGGCGAGTTGTCGACCAGCAATCGCATCGTGTGGCACTTGCGTGAGATTTTGCGCGAAGAAGAGGCCGACAACAAGATGGAGTCGGCGAAAGCGTCGCGCATTGCAGCGTTGGTGAACCGGTTTGAAAAGTCCAACGCACAAGTGCAAGCCGACTTTGCGCAGCAGCTGCGCCACGAAATCAAGTCCATCGGGCTCACGCGGGCGTCGGCGTCGCTCAGTGTCGACTCGGCCACCACCAATCAGACGGCGACCGTCGTCGAGCAGCTCGAAGAACGCATTGCCCGCCACGAAGCCACGATCGTCGCGCTGACGCGGGAGGCGCAGAACTCCCAGGCCCAGTTGGACCTTGCATTGCAGACCGCCGTAGACAGAGACCAGGACGTGATGCAGCTCGAGTCGAGGCTGACGTCGATGCATCTCGAGAGCTCCCCCGATCATGCTAGTGCATCGTCGGTGGCTGCCTCTCAAAAGGCGGCTATCCTACGCTTGGAAGCATCGGTGGCGGCGTTGGAAGAGGTGGTTGCCCAGCGGGACGACGAAAAGGCCGAGTTAGAGTCCCACGTCCGGGAACTCACGCGCGCGACCCAGTCGGACGCGACGACCCAGGACATGGAGCATCTTCAAACCCAGGTGAAGCGGTTGCAAGCGGAACTCGAGGCCAAGGCGCACGAACTCGACGTCCTCCACTCGGAGACGCCGACGCGAGAAAGCCCGAGTGTGCTGCTCAACGACAGCTTCCTCTCGGTGCGCAAGTCGGTGCGGTTCGAAGACGACGAAGACAGCGGCAAGTTGCGCCAACAAGTCCGGAAGTTGGAGGCGGAGGTCGCCGAGATGCGCGTGGCGCTGTACGAGCGCACGTGCGACGTGAACGCCCTCAAGCACGAAGTCCTGGCCAATGTCGAAACGATTGAACACTTGTCGTCGGATTTCGCCAAGCGCGTGGAGGTAGGGGCCGGCAACGCCATGGAAAAGATGGACATGTTCCTGTTTGAACAAGTATGCGCCAAGCACAAGGAAGTGGAGGAGTTGGTGGCCGAGTTGGAGCGCAAGGATGACGAGATCAAGGAACTGCTGGCCCGGCCGTCGTCTACTCATAACTTTGACCAACAAGTTGAGCAGTTGCAGACCAAGTGCGTCGAGCTGTCGGCGCAGCTCAAGGTGGCCATGGAGCAAAACGCGCTGCTGACGCAAGAGACCCAGTTCCAAGCGCGCAGCATCGAAAGCAAACAAAACCAGATCAAGTCGCTGCTCGAGCTCATGCAAAGCAAGGAGCACGAACTGGCCGAGCTCGACGAAGCGCTCGCGACGGCCGAAATGCAGGTCGAGTACTTGAAGCACCAGTACAATGTCACGTTCACCGCCGAGGAAGAGGACAGGTTCGCGGCTGCGTATCGGGAAGGCGGGCGCCGCAGCTCCATGTCCCATCGACGGGAATCTGCGACGTACCCCCCCAACATTGCGCCGTATTTTACGTCGTCGGCCATGATGGACGACGAAGGCTACGACGAGTACGACAGACCCCCCATAGAGCGCATGTCAGGCCAGTCGGGGGGGTCGTCCACGATCTTGTCGACAGCCGCCATGTCCTCCCCAACAACGTCGTTGTCGGTTGCAGATGTCGAATTTGGAGGGTCCCCTCGGTTTAGTTGTTTGAGTATTGGGTCCCGCGACAGCATTGCGTCGTCGCGAACCAGTGAATGGGGATTGGAGTTTTAGTAGAAGAAATTAATATAAAGTGACTGGACTGTTGTGCTTGTTTACTCGATGGAGTGAGTGATGGGTCGTCAGAGAGGTTGAGGGGGGGGGGTTCTGTCGGTTAGCCGCGACGTGCGTGACCCACTTGGACATTCTCGCCGCCGGCCGCGGCGGTCCCCCTGCCAGAACGCCCCACGGGGGACGCCGCCCCAAGCACCCCCCCATCCGCCGCGCCATCGTCGCCTTTCTTATGAAGCAACGACATGCCTCGAATCGCCTTGGCCGCCATGATACCAGCTCGGAAGCGTCGGCGGGCGTTGTATCGGCGCATTTCTGTCGTGAAGCTGGGCAGTTGCTTATCGCTCGCCCCTTCCGGATCCTACCAAGCAAGCCCCCATGCATTTTAGATCATCGCACAAGGCTAGATAGTGAAAGCGTAGTCGACGAACCTTGACCCACGGGTGGTTGAGCACGTCTTCGGCGGAATACCGCTTCTTGGCGTCCACCACAAGCATGTGATTGATCAAGTCCTTGGCTACGAGATCGGGTTACGTCGAGTTTGTGTTCACGGGATAATGGACGTACCACTGTCCGACACGTGGTCCCAGTAAGGCGACGGAAAATCATACGCGCCAGCTTTGATCGTGGCAAACAGCGCGGCGTTGTTCTCGTCGTAAAATGGAGGGAACCCACAGAGGAGGATGTACGTGATGACCCCCAAACTCCACATGTCCACTTCGCCCCCGTACGGCTTGCCTTCCAAGATCTCGGGGGCGACGTACCCCGGGGTACCGCACGCTGTCTGCATCATCGAGTTGCCTTGGATCAACTTGGCCAAACCAAAGTCGGCGATCTTGATCTCGGCGTTTTCTTCCGTCGACTCGTACAAGAGGTTTTCCGGCTACAAACACACATCCACGTCGTCAGTACACTCCAGCATACTAGTAGCACCTAAGCACGCCTTCAAGTTCACTTTGCAGTGTCTTACCTTGAGGTCTCGATGCACAATGCCAAGGGTGTGGCAGTATGCGAGCGCCGTCGCCAGCTTGTGCACAACCGTGCGGGCCTCTCGCTCCGAGTACTTTTCCTTTTCGACGATGCGGTCGAACAGTTCCCCGCCGCTCATTTCCTCCATGACCATGTAAAACGTCTTGGGGCAGTCGAATACCTCCTTGAGCTTGACAATGTTGGGGTGCTCGACCATCTGCAACACCTCCACTTCCACGCGCAACGCTTCTTCGTCGTCTGGCGCCAAGCTCGCTTTCTCTATGCACTTGACGGCCCACTTGGTGTTGTCCGCCTTGTTCACGGCACTTTTCACCGTGGCGAAGCTCCCCCTACAAGTCCATCGACGTGAGTCAACGGCGGCGCCATTGATAGCAAAAACGCGGTATATAGGGTACTAAGTAGTAGTAGTACATACGTGCCAAGCGTCTTGCCAAACTTGTAGTACTTGACACATTCGTCCTTCTTGTAGAAGTCCGTGACCTTCTTGATGATAATAGACATCGAACGGACGCGGTGTCACGGGGCAGGGACTTTCGACAAATGCTGGTCAAGCGGTTATCCAACCCTTCGTCGTCGTTATGAGATGGGCAAAAATACATGTGAAACCACATCGAGGTATCTTTGTGCGTCGTTTCGGCTTAGAATAGATACCCCAAATTCCCTTGATTCGTTCGGTAGCCAAATCCACCTCTGTTGAACGACCTCAGGTCAAGATTGTGTACAAACATGAACCCAATATCCCTTATATTATTGTCTTTGCCGTTTTTGCATCCACTTAACTAAGGGAAATAAGGTCATGGAGGAATGCATGGCGAGTCCGGTTGGTGAAATCCGCAATCCATCAACCGAACATGTCCAACAGTTCACACCCAGGCGTCGTTCCATGTGCACATTGATGCTCACCGCAACCCATACTAGTAGTAGCGGGATGCCATGCCATGCTAAAGTACAATCCAAAACGGTGCCGCACTTGGAGAGAATTTGAGTTGACATGTGGATCAGTCGGAACGTCTGGCTATGTACCAAGCACGCAGTTACGTCAGCTACAACCACGTCGCTGCCTACCAATACCAATCATACTGTCATTTCGTCAAATGTTTAGGAACTGGAGCAACACATAGACGACAAGTCAGGGAGGGTGTCGTGCCATGGTTAAGGTGAGAATGCAACAAGGAAGCAATGACGTCTGCGCGAGGATTTGCATCGAGACTAAATACATTAGAGTGTGATTGACGGGCTAACTACGTTTGGTGCATCTACATTTCGTCTTCCTCCAAAAGCATGTTGGGGATGCCATTCTTGATCGGGTAGCTGCGGCCACAGTTGTTGCAGACAAGCTCGCCTTCGATGATCGTGGTCTAAGGAACGTGATGATGACCAAGTTAGCTCGCGTCCATCCGCCAAATCAGACGATCAGTGCTTACATCAAAGATGATATGATGCACGGCACGAAGGATGTCTTCTCGTGCAGCTACATCTACCGGAAGTTCTTGAGGCAATTGGGGCAGCTCAGGATGGTTGAGCTATGAGGATGACGATGAGTCTTCAGTTTACGAGAAGGACAGCTCACCTGAGCCACAGTTTGCACCAAGCCCGTCCAGTCAATAGACTTGAGAATGTGCAGCACAAAGTCTTTACTGTAGTTGGTGTCTGTGATGTCGATGCCACTTTCATTGTCGACTTGGATCTATCATTAATGCCATCAGGTGGCTATTACTGGCAGCGGCGTACCTTGAGAGGGTAGTTGAGCGGCAGGGCGTTCTCTCCTTGCCTGGCAGTGGCCACGCAGGCCTTGATGTTGCACACGAGCATGTTGTGGGTTAGCAGGCGCATGATTTGCGTGCGACAGCGGCGCAACCAGATAGTACTACAATAATCTTGAAACCGTGGAATCTTTTAGACCAATCAAAGGATGCAAAGTAACGATTGGTTCTGAATCGACCAATCAAAATCGTGACCCCGATATAACTGGTGCTCTGTTCAACTTAACAGCCACAAGTCATCGACAAACAAAACCAAGATGGTAAAGAAGAAGACCAAGTCCAAGCGCCTATCTCTGCACAAGAAGTACAAAATCCTGCGCAAGGTGCGCGAGCACAAGCGCAAGGAGCGCAAGAGCGACCGCCAGGGTGCCGGGAAGAAGAAGAAGACGCCTGGCATCCCGAACAACTGGCCGTTCAAGGAGGAGCTGCTGCTCCAGGAAGAGCAAGCCCGCCTTGCCGAACTCGACCGTCTCGAGAAACTCAAGACCCAGCGCAAGGCCGAAAAAGCCGAGAAGAAGAAGGCCGACAAGCTCGTCATTGACGGGCTCGCCCAAGTACCCACCCTCACGCCGTTGTCCGTCAAGCAGCATGCTCAGGCCGACCTCAAGGCGGCCGTGACCAAGGCGGACCTGGTCGTGATCGTGCTGGACGCCCGGGACCCCCAAGGGTGCCGTTCCCTCAGTTTGGAAGACGGGCTAATCGGCCACGGCAAGAAGGACATTTTGCTCGTGTTGAACAAAGTCGACTTGATTTCTCGCGACGTGGCGGAAAAGGTAAAGTCATTTGTGTGCTTGTAGCGTTTGACTAATCATGTCACTGGGCAGTGGGTCACGTATCTCCGCCGCTTCCACCCGACCGTGGCCGTGCGTGCCGCCGACAAGACCATCAAGGACGTGACGCGCAAGACCCAATCCAACTCGTCGCTCAGCAGCGCCGCCCTCCACGCCCGCACCCAAGGCCTGTCCACTCTCCGGGACAACGGGTTCGTGGACGCCTTGTCGCATGCGCTGGACGACTACGTCCGAGCCAAGAAGCCGGCGGCCAAAACCAACTTGAACGTTGCACTTGTGGGGTACCCGAACGTGGGCAAGAGCACGCTCTTTAACGCGTTAAAGCGCAAAGCCATCGCCCAAATCTCGTCCAAACGTACGTGGAATGATTCTACCTGTCAAATCAAATATTGTATGCACGAATGCATACCCTCCAATATCTGATATACGGGTGATCTGCCGCTTTTGTATATAGCGCACACGACCAAGGTGTTGTCGGAAGCGCAATACGGCGAACACATCCACTTGATTGACACGCCGGCACTGGAAACGTCGTTCTGCGACCCGGCCAACGTCCTCGTCAAGTTTGGCTTGGCTCAAGAGTACACGATGGACCCTGTGGAGGCCCTCGAGTCAGTGCTCAGCCGCGCGGACATGTGGAACATCATGCAGGTCACGGCGGTCGGCACGTACAAGTCGACAGAAGACTTCTTGACCAAGTACGCCGTCAAGAAGCAGTTGACGCGCAAGGGTGGTGATGCCGACGTGCTGCTGGCGGCGCGGTCCGTGATCCAGGCCTTGTCGCATGGCGGATTGCCGACCATGACTCTGGCGCCGCCGCAGTCCAAGAGTCGGTTCGACCTGCCCAAGTGGTTTGACGCCGAGCCATTGACTGCGCTCGAGCAGAAATTGTATGCGACCAACCCATTGGCTAAAAACTCGTCATATTTGACGCTCAAGTGCCAAGGCTCGAGCCACCGCACGGGGGAAACCACAGAGTACGATGTGGTCATGGGCACGCTTAAGTTTGAAGACGTGCAAGCTGTCGACGACGACGAAAGCGACGACGAAGAAAGCGATGACGACGACGAAGAGGAGGAAGAGGACGAAGAAGAAGAAGAGGTCATAGTGCCGGCGCCTACAAAGGGGGCCAAGAAAGCGGCACCTAAAGCGGCAATCGTGAAAAAAGCGGCAGCGCCGGCTAAAAAGGAAGCCCCTGCCAAAGCGGTAGCAACGAAGGCGGCCACGCACAAACCGCCCAAGGAACCGACGGCGAACACACCAGACAAGAAGGCCGTTGTCAAGCCAACCGCACCAGTCAAGAAGGCGGCGGCTGCCAAGGTTGTTGCTGAGAAGAAGACGAAGGAAGAAGTTGTAGCCAGCACAAAGGCGGCCAAGAAGGACGCGACACCAACCAAGGAGCCCGCACCAAGCCGGAAACGTGGAGCCATCGCCATCGAAGAACCCACACGTCGAAACCCCAAGCGTGCCACGCGAACTCCCTCCAAATAAAAAAAAGTACTTGCTAATAATCGACCACTTTATTCTAATCAAGTACTACTACACACGATTCGTTGTCCAGTGTCGTTGTCCAAATATAAGAGGAAGCATTATGGTCGTCCAACGGGCTCGATTCGGGACTGTTTTGTACCTGCTTACTACGTAGTAGTCGTCTGGTCATGTGCACTTACATTTGGAGTTTGTATTAAGAGTATTGATTGTAGTGTAGGTGGAAGATCAGTAAATTAGCAGCGATGGATCACCACGTCTGTAGCATGATTTGTAGCGTAGATGGAAACAAAACAGATCCAGTGCTGATGGATGGCCACGCCTCCAGTATGACTTGCTGTGTAGTTCGAAAAAGATGGAGAGGGTAGCGTCCTATACTGGCATAGGCATCACTACCCGGCACAATTAGCTACTATCGTTAGTTAGCCCAAGCACTTGCCAAGGATATTCGTACCTTTCACGACAACGCCTTGCTTCAATGCCATGCCAAACTGACATGGTGTGGTTTCATGCTGTGTTGCTATGTCTTCTGTATTGTGGTGCTGTTTACTGTATGATAGCCATGTATGCACTGTGCTGGTATTAACTGAAAATTGGGTGGTTGGCGCCGTAGAGTCGTCCACAGATGCAAGAACTAAAGTAGGCATGTGGAGATAACTCCAAGGCCAAGGAACTACCGTAGCCCATGAACAGAAACCATCATCCTCTTCCAGCAGACGCGTTTACAGTGCGCGGGAACGCCCTTTTGCTGGATCCAACGACCATGTACGGGTGCTGATGCCTTTGAGCTAAACGCACTACGCTTTTGAGCTAATATACAGTAGTTCACTGTAGTTCTTACTTCCAACGTATACCACACGACTCCTTTGTGTTGAAGTGTGTGTATTGTGGCGTTGTGTGTACAAACCAGACCTTCGATGGACGACCAAAATATACCCTCAAATATAGCGTATTTTGGTCCTATGGGAGTTACAGTAAGAGCATTTTGCACATTATTGTCGTCACGCATTTGACCAACGAATCCTTATATGATGATGATTACTACTACTAGTACGTATTAATAGTACGTAGTACTAGTAGTATAACAGAGCAATACTATGGAGTAGAGAATAACGCAATAAGGTTGATTATATATTTCGATATTTAAGAAGCAATATTACTACAATTGTGAGATTTGTTAACAGTAAATACTAATTAATGGCTTGTAGTATTATTAATATATTAAGTAAGACCTATAGAAATTGTTTAGGGTGATATTATTTCAACCAATATTGAATCACGCCGGAGTTCTGATTGGTTGAATATACATGTCCTTCAGCAAGAGCCAATGAAATCCACTAAAAAAATGGATTAGCCAATAGCGTCGATTCGAGATTCGATTCGGGGCGAGATATTCGATTCGACGGGGTCTGGAAATTCGTATCGAATCCACAATACAATTCAATACAATTATGAGATTTGTTAAATACTAATGGTAATGGCTTGTAGTATTATTAATATATTAAGTAAGACATATAATATTTGTTTGGGTGATATTATTGCATGGCAACCCCTATTTTGAAGGAAATTGTAGACGACATATTTCATTCGAAATTCGATTATGCTACGAATTTCGAAGTAATTAAACAACATGTGCTTATATCGAGGGGCAACTTTCAACGCAAGACAGACAGATTGGGATGAGTCTGTGCCGCGTGTGCAACCACCACCACGAAGATGTACACGCACTGCTCTATCCTTCATGGCAATCAACGTCGCTCATGCATCATCTCTAGGGAGTCAAGTGCACCATATGTGGACACATTGGCAAGAGCAAAGTGTTCCAGTTCCTCAAGGTGCGTCTGCTGTAGATCCTGCCGATTGTAGTTCCCCCCAACGTGACGGCGTTCTCGGTAGAACAATCGACCTATCAACCAACTGCGCTTCGTGTCGTTCTGTGTGGACGTGAACGACAGTCCGTCCAAGGGGAACTGGAGCTTGGCGCGACTCGTACGTGAACGCAACTTTGGCAAAGCTACCATCGGACTCTTCGACTCCCATGACCACTCCACTACGTGCAACCACGCCTTAACCTTTGGTACGCTACATTCTCCATCCATTTGACTCATCCATTATAGTCGGTGACGCCCCAGTGGCCGCCGCGCGGTGGTCATGGTCTGTGGACAATGGCGTGGAAGTCGCTGTAATCGACAAGCTTAGCGTCATCGACATCCGGCGGCGCCGTACGTATGGCACATACATCTTATCCAACATAATCGAGGTAACCAAGGTTGCCTTGTGATCTACCAGATGAAACCTCGTATTTGCTAGGACATCAAAGCGAAGATGGCGGTCGAAGGACGGACGCTATACGCCCTTGTGGCCAATGTTGCGCACGACCAGTTGCATCCTGCATGGAAGTTGTTTGTGAAATTCGGGTTCCAACCCATGGGAGAGCCCTTTGCAGTTCCTTCAAGCACACACTTGCATGTGAAAATGGTGCTCCTTCATAGTTAGCCGATGGAATCCACCAATACTACTAAAGTCTGCAAATTATCTACTTCGAAGTACTATTAACGTTAATACGAAAGTTAGTATATTTTTCGACTTTACAGTTATAGCAACATCCTAGTCAATTACTACGTAGTACTACTATGTATTACTAGTAATATATACTTGAGGTACATACGTTCGTTGGTATGATATATATATATATAAATATTATATATATGCAGTATTATGGATTCGGTACAAATTTCCAGACCCCGACGAATCGAATAATCTTGCCGCCCACTCGAATCGACGCTATTGGCTAATCCAAATTCGAGTGGATTTCATTGGCTCTTACAGAACGGACAAGTATTTCCAACCAATCAGAACTCCAGCGTGATTCAAGACAAACCACGTGAATAACTTTAAAAGTTTATAGCGAATGTACAATACCTTCATGTCTCCATCTGCCGTAGCGACGCCGCCGCCTCTCGGGCGCGTTGTCACATCCAGGCGCTTGAGGGGCTTCTGCGGCGCTTCTACAAGACCATAATTCCATCATCATAGTCAGTAGAAGCGACCGACCTGGCGAGTCCGTCGCGCTTCTCTTGCGCTTGAACAGACCCACAGGCGTGACGGGTGGCCGTGGCAAAGTCGCCTCGTCTGTGACACTGATCGTGCCCACATACAGTACCTGTACACCCCCGGGGTATGCACATTGCCGTAGCGTGGTCCTGGCTCTCGGCGTTTGATGCGCTCCTTGCCGCCCAAACACAATAGCGTCTACCGTGTCGCATGATTTCACATGAAAACCAAAGTAGGCTTGTAAAAGTTGGCTTCTTACCGTGGCGTCGACTTGCACGAGCACCGTGTTGGCGCGTTTCGTAGGAACAGACCCTGACATGACCACGTTCACACAAGAACTACCACACTCAAGATAGATATATTATATCCTACATATATATATATAAATATATCCATATTTAAAATATGAATCCATATGTACTACTACGTACAGTGTAAATATCCTAAATATGTACTACTAGTACTATTAATAGTACTTCTTCTGTTCCAGGTTACTGCCGACATTTCAAAATTCGCATGTTCCAAGTTACTGGCGACATTTGCATTTCATTGGCTGTAATTCTTCAATTTCTATCAATATCCAATTTCTATCAATATCGAACATTTATGACATTTCATTGGCTTACAATTGCTTTAAGCGCTGATTATAAACCAATCTTTTGCGAAAATTCATGCAAATTTGAATATGATTTATCTATTCATTTATCCCTGACATTGTCAAAAGGCGTCGATGCACGTCGTGGGCGCCGTGTTCTTCGTCGCTGCAGTCGGCACAATCACATATACCGTCTCGCACGGTGGTCACAGGTACTAATTGTACTGGCGTCGGGGTTCGACATGCGAACTGCAGCGTCGGAACCACATGGGAGCATGCACTTGTCCTCGGTTCATCAAGGCCATCCTCCATGCAATCACAGAAGTCATCGTTCACCTGGTTGATGTCGTAGAAGACTCTCCGCCGGATCCCACATGCCAATCGCCCGTGTTGGCGCAGGTTCAACACAGTCGGGATGGATTCGTGTGTCGCCGATCCCGACTCCTTGACATATAGCACGGCCATGATACACATCACAACAAGGACCTTCCATCCGTGGCGGCGGACGTCAAGCCAGCGCTTCGACACTGCTGACTTGTCCTCGCCGTCAAAATATTCGTGGCGATGACCGTCCCGTGTACGACCACCGCGTCGATTTCGCGCAGGGCTCTCCATGGAGAACATTTCCCCTTTGAAATTATTATAATTGTTTATATTATAAGGTTTCAAGAGGTATCGTCGACGTAGACACTTGCGAATTGTGAAATATACGCTTTGTTTGTCGGACAGTAATGCAGAGGTATCTCATGTTAACTATTCGAACGAGGCCGCAGAACAATCCTGGCACATGAAAGATGCTCTCTCCCGTGAGTTGAGTGAGCATCGATGAATTCACCTACTGTATGCGGTCGGTAGTGGCAAACTTGGCAATAGCAACATTGCTTTTTCTATCATGAAAAAAATAGCATACAAATTTAACGTTGTCCACGAAATTCTATTTAATTCTGACGTTTTCCTCAATTTATCTGCATATTTTGCAAATACTAGTATTGTATCAAAAGCATCCAATCAAAATCCAAGAACCGCGGCAGCAACCATGTGGAAATAACACCGTAAGGTCGCGGCGCATAGGAAGGGCATCAAGCATGTGAAACTCAGTCCACTTGAACTTTTCAGAGCTCCATGAACATCAATCGCCCCAAGCGAGGCAAAGGCTTAACCATGGGCAACTTCTTCGGTGCGTTCGGCTCGCCAATCCGTACGTCATACATGGATCAAGCAGCCGCGAACGGGGCCGACCAGCACAACATCAGCCCACTGGAGAAACTACCCGACGCCCAACTAGCGTCGGACGAAATCAACCCAACGGAGGTCAACAAGGCTGACGAGCCTGCCGTCGTCAACGGTCAAGACGACGACGCTGACATTGCCGACGACATTGCCACCATTCGCATCGATCGCACCCGCGCGGCGCGACCTGCACCCGTCCAACAAAGAGATGAGTTGTTTCGCACCGAGCAAGCTGCCGAGAAGGTGCCTCAGATCCAGCTGGACGTGGCAAAGAAGGCCAAGATCCCGTTGTTCCTCAAATCGCCATTCTACGCCGCTGCTCACGTTGCTGTGCCAGTTGCTGCACCAGTTCCAGTGCCAGTGCGCGCGTCCAACACGCAGCCGCCAGTGCCCGTGGGCCGAGCTACATTGTCACGACTCATCAACTTTGCAGACGTGACGTTGGGGCGGGTGATTGGCGAAGGCGCGTTCGGCAAAGTGCACGAAGGCAAGTGGCGGGATCGCCCCGTGGCCGTCAAGTTGCTCATTTGCCAGGAGCTGCGAGCCGATATTTTGGAAGAGTTTCAGTCCGAAGTCGAAATCATGAGTGTGTTGCGGTAAGTTTCCTGTAAACTTCCTGTTCGATGCCAGGTTTTCTCATCTTGGAATAACGTTGCTGCAGGCATCCCAACATTTGCCGCTTACTCGGCGCGTGCATGGACCCACCGAACCGGTGTTTAGTGGTGGAACTGATGCCCCGAGGCTCCCTCTGGGGCGTCTTGCGCACCAGCCGGTCGATTGACCAAGGCATGCGCATTGGGTACGACGAGTGTGTCTTCGGCAATCAATGCTATACACGCCAACACCGTTGTTGTTGTGTAGTTTTATCAACGACACGGCCAAAGGCATGAGTTACTTGCACAATTTCCAGCCCCCGATTCTGCACCGCGACCTCAAGAGCCCCAACTTGTTGGTGGATCGCCACTACTCGATCAAGATCTCGGACTTTGGGCTGTCCCGCGTCAAAGCGCATGTCCAGACCATGACAGGCAACTGCGGCACGGTCCAGTGGATGGCGTACGACTGTTATGACATGCATTTGTCGAATGACCAACATTCTGTAGACCCGAGGTGCTGGGGAACCAAAAGTACACGGAAAAGGCCGATGTGTTCTCGTTCGGGATTGTCATCTGGGAATGCGTGACGGGCGAGTGCCCGTACGACGGCATGACGCAGATCCAAGCGGCGCTGGGGGTGCTCAACCGCAACCTCCGCCCAGTGGTGCCCAAGACGTGCCCCCCCTTCCTCGCGCAGCTCATGAAGGCGTGCTGGGCGAGACAGCCCGAGCTCCGCCCATCGTTCCTTCAAATCGTCAGCGCTTTGCGCAACTACAGCATTCGGAAAAGCATGGGCGAACAACATAAGCAATAACGAATAATATCACAACGACTACATGTGTATCTACTAGCATTAGTGGTGGTTAGCGCGGTGGTATACACATCACGTGTGGGTTCGCCGTGATATGGCGGGTCGGTGTGTGCTCTCAACCTCATGATCATGGGGCCTACAAGTTGAAAGGCAAGTGGTTGCCGGGAATGAACCCGCGGTGGCATCCATCTTCGTTGATCGTGACGGTACGAATGACCCCGCCGGAGCTGCCGTCGCGGGCCATCGCGTGGGACAGCGCCTTCTGCACAAACGCTTCTGCTTCTTCGCGACTCATGCCTGCTCGCCAATGGCTGTCGATGAAACCGTAGATATACGTGGAGCCCGACCCGCCGATAGCAAAGTCTTGTTCCACCAGCGCCCCACCGATCGGAATCGAGTACACTTGTCCGCCCTTCACCTTGTCGTAGCCGGCCACGATGATCCCCGCCATCAATCGGTCCTTGTTCTCGTAGCAAAGCTTGCGGAACAAGTTCGCGGCCGTGTGCACCTTGGGTAACGCGTCCCCTTCCAACTCATCCGCGTGGGACGCAACGAAGTAGCGGACATAGTCGGAGAGGGCCTGCGTGTCGGCCGCACTGCCCGATCGGCAGCAGTAGATGCGGTCGTGAATGCTCGTGAGTTTGTCCGACACGCGGTTTGCTACGTACGTCCCGGTCGACGTACGACTGTCCGCGCCGAGCACGACGCCATCCTTGTACTTGACTGCAATGATGGTTGTGCCGGAGCTCACTTCCCCTGCCTTCAGGTTGTACCCGCTGCTCTCGTCTCGCTCGGTCTCGTTGGTGTATCCACGGGCGAGGTTCATGATTCGTGTTGGATCTAATTTCTTTCCTGTGCTTCTTCTGGGGTGCTGATGCACTACCTCTGAAATCCACTCCTGCAATCGAATCCACTGATTTTCAGGGTTTTATACGGAATAAATTTATCCGGATGATTACCTACGTCGGATTGGATGAAACGAAAATAGCTCTCCACCAATCCGAGACCTCAATTCAAGTCTTCAAACATCCCGCGCGTACCAACTCGGGTTGGCGGCAAGACCAACAAGGACACCCATCAGGAGATCACAGTCCATGAGCGAGGACCTCCGACACTCGCACTCGAGTGTGCCTTCCCGCAGCGATAGCCGCCAGCGAACCCCTGCCTCACCTTTAGCACATGTGTCAAGCAGTCCACTGCAGCTGGTGATCCAACGACTTCAGGGTGAATGCGAACAACTTCGTGCGGAAAAGCGGGACCTGGAGCGAAAAGTACAGCACGAAACGCTGAAAAGTTCTCGCTACATGGCCGAAACGAATGACGTGCAACGGAACCTCATGGTGGAGAACCAGCGGTTGCAGAGCGAAGTGAGTCACGTGAAGGACAAGCTGCGAGAGTATGCCGCAACGTTGGAGTTGGCCAACGACCGCCTCAAGCAGGTCGATGCGAGCGAGCGCCAATTGTCCCTCCGTTGTGAAGTGCTGGACGACACGGTCCGGGAATTGGAAGCCATGACGGCTCGCCAGCGGCAGTCCATGGACGGCCTCGAAAACGACGTGGATCGACTCAACGAACTTGTAGCGCACTTGGGCGACGAGCGGGACGAGCTCTTGGAGCGCACTGAAGTCGATGCGAAGAGAGTGCGGGCGCTTTGGGAAGAGACCATGCTGCAACACAAGGCGGAAGCAACGTCGTTGGAGCGCGCGGTGGAGCGAGCCAAAAAAGAGGCGCGAGTGTTACAGACCCAACTGACCAAGTGCGGCGCGGAAGCCGGCGACATGCGAACCAAGCTAAGCCAGGCATCGGTTGTGGCGTCCCAGGATACCCAGCGGATCCAAAAGCTGGAGCTCGAAGTGGTGGCCATGCGCCAAGAGTTGGGGAAATCGCAACAACAAACGGTGACCTTGAGCCAAAGTTTGCAAACCGTGGCCCTGCAAGTAGAAGAGCAAGCGTCCAAGCTTCGATGGACTGAAGCGCAACTGCATGACATGACGAAAACGCTGGAGGACACGAAGCGGGAAGCTGCGACAGCGAACGATGCACTGCAGCAATCGCTGGAGCAACTCGACGTCCTCAAGACCGAGTTTGCAACGTCTATGGAAACGTACGAGGGTACGATCCACGACTTGCGACATGGGGCTTTGGCCAAGACAAGTCAAGTGGAACAGCTGCGAGTGGCGCTCGACAGCGAAAAGAAGTATGCGGCGTCCATCGCGGCGATGCTGAAAACATACATGGGCGACTACCACCGCGTTCTGTCGTCCGTGGATCATAAGCTGTCGGATTTGAAGGAGCATTGCCATGTCAACGAGGATGACTGTGACAACGGCGGCAGAGCGCAGCCATTGCAGCCAATTCGACTGCCCAGGCGCGCAACCCCAGCAACGTCCCTCAGTATCTTTGCCCATTAGGCATATGCGACCCCAAGCTACATGGACATGGCGTGCCTGAGGGTTTCCTCTCCAAGGAGCATGATAAATGGCTTAGAAACCTAGTCGGTGATTGGCTGGATTTTGAAGACCTCTGTAAAATAGTATTTTATTGGTCCATCGAATGTCAGAATTTGTTCGAGCGGCCCAGGGAGTAGTGAACCAACAAGAAATCTCAATCATCATGGAGGCCGAGCTACCACGAGACAAGGCTCCCGTGGATACAGCAGGTAAGACGGCGCCAACATGTGGAGAGGATCTTGCTTGAAGGGTTGGTCAGCGTGTGTATCTTTTTGTGTGTGCAGGGGAAGTGCCCATCCAAAACACGTATACGTTTTGGTACATGAAGAAGAACTCGGGCAAAGCGGTATGACCTTCCTTTGACCACATGTCAAGGTAGAGTAAGTCTCCAATAATCATGTGCAGTTGGAGGACCAGGAAAGCTACGAGAAGAGCATCAAGGAGATCTCAGAGTTCCGCACGGTGCAAGGGTTCTGGCGTGTGTACAACCATTTGATCCGACCGAACGATTTGCCTAACACAACGGACTATCATCTGTTCAAGGCTGGCATCAAGCCTATGTGGGAGGTAAGACTTGATGATGAATACGGTCAGGCCATTGACGTGTACAGGACACGGCCAACCGGCGTGGCGGCAAGTGGATGATTCGCATTCGCAAAGGCATTGCGTCGCGGTATTGGGAAGACTTGGTCTGTGTGCATACTAGTACATACGTATTGCGTCTCGTGGCTCACGATGATTGCTTAGGTGCTGGCGATTGTGGGCGAGCAATTCGACGTCGGCAATGAGATTTGTGGAGCCGTCATGTCCATTCGGTACAACGAAGACATCATTTCGCTGTGGAACCGCAACGCCGACAACAGCGAAGCGTGTTATAGAATACGGTACGTACGTCGTCCCTGTCCGCGTATATATATATATATACCCGTCTTGAATAGCGATACGATGCGAAAGCTGCTGAACTTGCCGCAGTTCGTGTCGCTCGAGTACAAGCGCCACGACACGTCGTTGAACGACAACTCGAGCTTCCGGAACACGACTGTGTGGCGTAATGGCGAGAAGGCGCGGCTCCAGGACGACGGGACGCCCATGTCCCCGAGTGCCGCCAACGCTGGGCAGCCAGCGGCGAACCAGCAACAACAGCCGCCGCCGCCATCGTCTTCCCGACATCCGAATGGTCCGTCTCAGCAACCGCAGCAGCAGTCGCGAGGCGACCGATCGAGCGGAACCAACCGCTCCCACAACCGCCGCGAAGGAAACAACACCCGCGGCGGCAGTTCCGGGGCATGGACGCGGGACACGACGATCCGCGAAAAGAAGGATCGCACCAGCAGCTTTTCACGCAACGAGTCGACTCCTGATGAAGAAGGCTGGCAATCGTAGAAATGTACTAGAGACAGACACATAACAAGACGACAGAGCGCTGATCCATGTTTCGACTGTGTGCTGCAGACCAAATAGGAAATGGTGGAAGGCAGGTGGCCTCGAGATACAATACACAGGAACGACGCAGTAAACGAAGGCATGCATGTTGGGGTGTATTGTTATTTCGGGAGGTTACTGGAAGGATATCATCGTGGTGCGTTAATCCTTTGCAAAAGGCGGGGTGGGAGCATCGGCAGCGGCCGAGGCCGCGCCGCCGCCGGTGGCCTCATCGATGGAAGGTGGCATGCCGACCTTCCGCAGGGTGTCGTTGAAGATGTACACTCCCGAGATGCCGCCAACCAGCACGGCGAAGGCCACGTCCAGCAACGGGGTGCGGCGACGGAAGCGTGGACGCAAACTGTAGCCCGGCTTGGAATTCATTGGTGTTTGGGAAATGGCGTGGAGATATTATTATATGCTACAGGCACTTCACGAAACAATATGCAATACTGGAGGTTTTCTACCCACAGTGTGAGAGTCTATTTGACCATAAACCAGGCAAATATTATAAAAGAGCTATATGACAATACATATTAAAAGTGTAAACGTCCCTTTAAAGCACAGAAATAGGAGCACTCAAAAATATGCAGATCAAGAGCTCACCTTCGTGAGGGTTAAACTGCGGTTGTTTTCTGTCCTTGATGCAGCACGGTGGTACCTCGACGTTAGGTAGCGGCTCGTCGATGTCCACAACGCAGTCATCCCCGTCGCACTATCACGTACAAGCAAGCGAGCTATCGGGTTCTGTCCGTGGCGTGCTCCTTCGTCTGGGGGACACGAATGTTCTCCTCAACTGCGGCAACTCGTCGCCGACGACGGCGACTCCCATTACATCGTTCTCGTCATTGGGCATTGCCCCCGGCACAATCATCAGCGCCATATTGATCACGGACTGGCGCATTTCCAGCAGTGGCATGCTTCCGATGGTCCTATCGGCGTACCAAAATCACCACAATCGCCACAAAGGCAAGGACAAACAGTTCAAGCACCAGCAAGGAACGATGCCACCGCCGTCTGTACCGCCGCCCGCCGTGTTCCTGACACATGCCACACGAGCGCTGCTACCCCACATTCTCAAAGAATGCAAGAACGACAACACGAACCCCGCCGCGATCTTGAACGACTCGTCCCTTGCGTCCATGACAAGTTTAGCATTTGGGCAGCCACACGTGCATCCTGCCGCACTTGCCGGTCAAAGCAACATGACCGTGACTGCCCATCGCGCAGGACACGTAGTCGGGGGATGTTTGTATTCGATAGAAGTCGACGGGATCCAGGTATACCCCCGCCGTCAAAGTCGTCCCTACCTGCGTCGTTCATGTAGGTATCGTTTGTCGACGGCGTCAACCTCCATGGCTCTCGCATCTTGCGACGTGCCGAGCTGCCATGCCGACCGCCGCATGTAGCCATCATCAACAGCGCGTACGTGGTCGAAGTGTCCGAAACGCGCACGGTGCTAGAGCGAGAGCTGTGCAAAGAAGTACGCGACACGCTCGCCACCAACGGCAAAGTGATCATCCCCGTCTATGGCGTCGGAGCGTTCTTTCACGACTTGCTGGCGCTGCTCCAAGATTACTGGGTGAGCATGCATCTCCAGCACATTCCCATCTACGCCACGTCCGAAAGCCTCGTCCATGCTGCGTCGTCGTTCCTGCCGCTGTGTGCTGACTCGTACACGGCGGCGTTCGTGGGCCGGTCCCCCTCCGTGCCCATTCTCAAGCTCCCCGACCTGAAGCTGCTCGTAGAACCAACCAGTCGTCCCATGGTGATCTTCACAGCCGGCGCGTCCATCGGCGGCAGCGGGGACACCCACCGCGTGCTTCGCGCCATCGGCCACCACCCCGACAACCTCCTCGTTCTGTCCGAGTTTCGGACTCCAGGTACCATCATCACACTCCCCAATTTCCAGTCGATCATATGTGTACGAGAAGACGATATATATGATATTGTGGTTTTACCCCAGAAAATTTGATTGACCTTTTGTGCTGATTCTCGTTACATCTATCGATCACGCTTTGTCCTGACGTTTGTATGTACAGATCGTGCAGTATCACACTAATTTCAGTCACACACTAATTCGATATTGCATTAGTATATAATTTGATTGGCTCGTTGATTCATGCGTTTTGATATGGGTCGATATATCGATTTGTGGTGAATCTGCTCACTCGAATATATAACCACACGTAGGCACAATCAACCACGCCTTTCTCAACAACGTGGCGTGCGCCGACCTGCCCAAGAGCTTTGTCGACTCGATCGCGTGCCGCTTGCACACGTTTCCCTGTGGCGATGAAGTGGATGCCCGGGAAGTGGTCGAGCTGGCGCGGCAGTGCCGACCGAGTAGCAGCCTCGTCCTCCGCGGCGCCGACGCCAGCGACCCGTTCCTTCTCGAGGCGCTGCGTCCATTTCACTTGCCTGTGACAGCGCTCCAGGTGGACGACGTGTGGACGCAGTTGGTGCCGCGGGATCTGAACGTCCGCCTTCGCGTCAACTTGGCGTTCCAAGGGGGCGTCGTGCCAACGCTGATGCTGGCCGAGACCCGCAAGACGCTGTACTTTAACAACGAACTGAGCGGCATGCGGCGGCTCAAGAAGAAGAAGCACACGCTGGCGTTTGGACACACGTGGAAGTACCCCAAGGGCGGCAGCGGCGGCACGTCGTGTTCCAAGGCGCACAAGCGGCCCGGCAAGCGCACGCCGTTCGGGCTGTCCATGCTCTTGTCCAACGAAGCCAGCGAGAGCGACGACGAGCTCGCGGCGGACGACGTCGACGCCAACGTCGTGGGCGTGCTGGACGCGGTCGTGTCGGCGCTGCACCAGTGGCTCGGATGGGCACCCGATCAGATCGAGCGGCAGCCCACGTGGCTGCGTGTGGCGTCGGTCGAAGTGTCCGTCACCCCCGACTGGAGCATCACCATGAACTGGTCTTTTGAAGATGAAGAGCTCGCGAGCCGCATCTTTGGCCTGTGTCAACGTGTAGTGGAGACTCAGTATCGCGATGCCCATCAATAGAGTATTCAGTATGTCCTATTTGAGATAGTACTTGCCGATCATCGATGGGGTACACGTGTTTCAGATACCGGTAGATATGGATGAGCTATTAGACACACTGTTGGTACGTACCACACGTGAAGCGCCAAACAAGGGCGTCATCCTGTACTAGTAGCAGAGGTATACAGGATTGCAAACTAGTAGTATTAATATTCGTGTACATATTATAATAGTATTAATAGGATTCGGAACCACCGAGTTATACGGTGCGTGTGGTCGTGGGCTAGACTGGTCGTTGTATACTACTGGTAACTTGATCAAGTGCTGCTGCCTTCTTCACTGTACTAACTACTACTGTCAGTACATGTACTTACTACTACTGTAGGTAGTACTTAGTATTTATGAGTCAGATGTCCGTCCTTGGTACAACAAACCCCTTTGGACGACGGGGCCTAACACGAAGTAGACGACAAGTCTCGTCGTGCCAACCAGTTGAGGCAACAAGAGTTCACAGGTAGTAAGTACTAGTTACGTGTACTAGTACTGTACGTACATACTAGACGCGGTACTTGTTGAGAAAGTCGTCGACGTCGTTCAGTGGCTTGACTTCGCCGCGCTTGGTGAGCCAGAGGACAGTGTCCGGGTGAAACGCGTGCAGAAAGTGCACATCGTGGGAGATCACGAGTACGGCGCCGGTATAACCAGTCTTCAACGCGAGTAGGAGGGCGTCGATGCTGCTCATGTCGAGGTGGTTGGTCGGCTCATCCAGGATCAGGAGCTGCGGGCACGTGGGGAACGTCACTAGGGCCATCGCCACACGCATGGCTTGACCTCCGGACAACGTGCTCGCCGGCGCCGCACTCACCAATGCCCCTCGTAAACCGAACCGCGCCAGGTGCTTTCGACCGGCTTCTTCCGTGTCGGCGCCCAGCAGTTGCAGCGGTGTCTTGGGCTCGTGATGCAAAGTCTCGACGATGTCTTGGGTCAGCGCTCGAATATGAACCAAAGGTGGCACGGTGATGCAGCAGCCAGGCGACGGACATGGAATCGATCCGCAGAGCAGCTTGATCAACGTCGATTTGCCCGTACCGTTGCATCCCAGCAGCACGACGCGCTCGCCCTTGTGGATGTTAAACGACACGTTCTTTAGCAGCGGGGGCGACGCTGGCGTGTAGCTAAAGCTGAGTTTCTCGACGCTGAGCACGGAGTGGGTAGCAACGTCGGGCACCGGTGGAAGGCTCCACGGCTCCACCACATGCAAGTCGATGCATTCACCTTGGGACGTGCCTCCCTTCGAGAAGGAATACCCCGCGACTTCCTTGGTTATGCGGAGTCTACATACACGACCAGGCAAAACGTTATTAGTTACGCTAATCATATATTAATTATTACGCTAATCATAATATTATAATGTATCGAGAAATGATATAATAGTCCTACCGATGCCCGTTGTCGTTCTTTTCGTAGCCGACACTGTCAATCTTTTTCTTCTTGGACGCTGCGGCGGCTAATTTCTTGTCGTCGTTCGCTTTGCGGCCCTGATTCAATATTGTCATTAGTCATCGCATGTGGTATTTATCGGTTTGGGGGAGAATATATATATATATGTATATATACAGTATTCGTTACCTGGGCCAACATTTGAGCGACTTGTTTGCCCATTTTTTCCGTTTTGGCAGTCAATTTGGCTTCCACGCGGGCATGAAACACTTGTTTGTCTTGCACCGTTTGCTCAAACGTGTCGTAGTTGCCTGCAAAGTACCTACAACACAACATACGTCCCTTATTCATACTAGTATACACGATGATTAATTATTGGGAATATGAAATCCTTTGAAATAACGACTAAAAGTGAATATAATATAATTCTTTTTTTAAATTTTTTTTTATATTAATACTAGTATATTGTATTTCGAAAAGACATCATCTCCAGTATATAATATATATATATATATATACTAGTAGTAAGGAGTAGTAGTCATAGTACCCGAGTGTTTTATTGGTCTTCATGACAATGATCGTGTCTGCCACGGCATTCAAGAACGCCCGGTCGTGGCTCACCTGCAAACCATTGAGCCCATTTCCCAATCTTTGGGCATTTCATTGTACTGTACCGTAACTACGGTCAAGTGTTGGAGCCGCGTCTGGATGAAATGCATTACCCACTGGATGCGCGGCAAGTCCAAATGGTTGGTCGGCTCGTCTAGCAAGAGCAAGTCCGGCTGAAGGAACTCAATTTGGGCCAGGAACACGCGCATTTTCCACCCCCCAGACAGTTCATGGAACGGCCGATCCTGCTGCTCCACGGACAGTCCTACAGCAACCAACAACAAAAGCATCATCCCATATGGCCACGAATCCACCCTACGTCGTACATACCAATGTCCACGAGAATTTCCCGTGCCCGCGCCTCGGTGGACAAGTCGTCTTGGGCGTACAACGACTCGAGCCAGTTGTTGGCGGCCACAATGTCGTCGTCCGAGTCGACGGAGGTCTGTACTGCGTCATCCCACGCCGCTTTGGCCTGGGCCAGTTGGTGTTCCAGGGCCACGAGCTTGTTGCGCGCCGTGAGCCCCCGCAGGCCGCTTCGTTTGATGGCCACGCGGTCCATCTTGGCCCTCGCCGCGTCGACGGCTTCGTAGTCCAGCTGCTTTAGCGCGTGGCTCACTGTTTGCGACTCCAAGCTGGCCTCGAGCAGGTCCATCATGTGCTGCCGACCGAGGCGCTGCTTGTCGCCACTCAGCAGCACGTCCACCACCGACAGTTGCGCCGAGTTGTCCATGTCCACATGGAACAGCTGGTGCACGTACATGACGTGTACGTGCGCCGAAATGCCTTCAAACAAACCGTCGCCCAGGGCCTGCAACAAGGTGGATTTTCCCGTGCCGTTGCGCCCCACGAGACCGTAGTGCACGCCAGACTCGAGCTTGAGCTCGGCGTCGACGAGCAATTCCCGGTTCCCGATCGATAGACCCACCTGCCGCAGGTGGATGTTGAGGTCGTGGTGGTCGATGGTGGCCAAATGGAACCGGTCCTGTTGGGACCGCGCCATGATGACCGAGGAGGGCATGGCGGCAGAGACACCTGCCGACTTGCGCGAGGAGGAGGACGGCGCGGTTGCTGCTTTGCGGGGCATAATTGTTGTAGTGGCAAAAGCATTGTATGTCAACAAGCGATGGCGGTCCCATTGAAAATTCGCGCGATATTCGGGAGTGTGGGACGACTCAGAATGTCGGTCGTTTCACGAACCGTATGCGTTTTTCTCAGGATATCACAGTGCATCTGATATCCTTTATATGTGTCGCAAAAGTGAAAAACGTACTTCGAATTATTTATGTGGATTTCAAATACCCTCATTGCACACAGGCCTCTTCCGGGAGCGGCACGGCCTACGGCCTACCTGCCACTGTCCGACAAGAAGAAACGATAGATCATTAGGTGAAGTGATAAGCTTAGATCCATAATTTACCCGATGTTTGAAAAGCAGATTATTTTTGAAAAGTAAGATGATTTCTATATTGACTCTCCCTATTGGGGGGAAGAATTTTTACCGGATACACTTTTCATGACGAGAATTATTTAATTAACCTACTAGTACAGTACTACTCAATACTCCGGAGTGTAGTACACAAATCAATTTGTGTCGACTTTATAATGAGACATTTTTCAAATAAAACTGTGAAGAGGACGATAAAGGGGGTACTGTACTGTATTGTGCTTTTCACTGAACTTTGGACTTCGCAGTCGAAACTTCAAAGTGATTTCGAATGTATTTTCCATGTTTTCCCCGACTGATTTTACCCAATCCGAAGCGACAGGGCACGAGACTGGTAAAATCTCTGGAATGGAGTGATGTGATTGGCTTAAGACATTCATAATCTCTTTGTTTAGGCTATTCGATTCGCCTCCCCAGTCCAATTTAGTGTTGAATACACAATAGCACTGAGAAGGAAGGGACTACGACGAGAACACTTGTGTGGTCGAGGGCAAAACCAAAGATGATCATTAACGGACTGTTTAGCTGACCTATGATTGGGCATAAACAGTCCGGCTTCTACAGAGAAAGAACACCGGATAATTCCGGATGACCGGATATTATCCGTAAGTGACCGAACCTCGGCGAAAAAGGCCAAAGCAAGAACGGCCAAGGTCCCCTTCTTGACAGCCACCCCACTGGGCAACGGACTGCTGAAGGCCTTCGAGACGAAGTTCTCAAAGAGAGGCAATGCCAAAGGCATAAAAAGGGCTTAGCGAAAAATTCGCGGAGACCAAAAAGTGCCAAAGGCATGTCACTACAAAAGCCACCCTGAGAACAGAGGCGAAGAAGGTAGGACAAGAACACACACAAGAATAGTGTTGGGCACATGAGTGCACGATTACTCAAAGAGTAAGGCAAAAGCCTAAGGTAATGCATAAATGCAAGAGTGCTCAAAGAACAAGGGTGCTCGAAGAGCATGGTAAATACCACACTGTCTTATTCTTCGTTGCACATACAAGTGCGTACTTGTATGTGCAACGAAGAATAAGACAGTGTGGCTAAAAATAGCGGGTAAAAACCCAAGTAAAATTGCCAGAAGCAAAAGTACAAGTAAGACTCAGAGAGTAGTGGTATAAACCCATGAAGTGCAAGTAGGATGGACGAGGGGGCGTGGGAGCACCATGTAGAAACTTGCACAAACCATGACGCCACTCGTACGGCCGATCCTTGAGCAGCGCTGCTGGCCAGACGGACACCGCCGACATCAAAACGGCACGAGCAGCCATATAGTGCACAAGTCGCCACATGGTCGAGGGCAAAAATGAAGGCGGTGAATGAAAAGTTTGTGCATAAAAAACAGGTGCAAATAATGCATGATAAATATCAATAATAATCATAAAGGTTTAAAAATGAAGTAAACACAATGTCATAGGCAAGGGCCACTCCGGTACACGACCACAAAGGTAATCACCAAGGGCATAGCGAAGCCCAGGTTCCGGGTGCGCATTCGTAAAGAAGTCCGCAAGTTGTTCTTTGGTAGGACAATAATGGAGTTTAAACTCCTTGTTCTCAACGAGATCGATAACAGACATAAAACGCACATCGATGTGCTTGGAGCGCCCATGATGCTCAGCATTTTGGGCGATGCTGATAACAGACTGATTATCCTCATGAACCGAAATCGGTTGATCACTAATGTGATGTAATTTGGCAGCGAGTTGGCGAACGTATACACATTCTTGGATGCAAAGAGCAAGAGCCACAAACTTGACCTCGGTCGTTGACAGAGTCACGATACCTTGTTTCTTCGAAAGTCATGAAATATGTCTGTTGAAAAATAGGATAAAAAATCCACTGACACAGATTCGAGTATCGGGGCACATAGCATACAGTAGTCCCCCGGAATAAGGAACCCACCATAAATCAATATCCTTTCAGAAAACATTATTTTGGGTGCAAATCAATCATAAAATCCAAGTGGTCGATTCAAATTTTAAAGTAACCACGCAAATAATGAAACACATGTTGACTACTTCGTACTCAACATGCCGTCGCCGTCGTCGCGGCTACGATTGACAATCGAGCAGAAGTGTACCCTGTTACAGCACCATGCGTCACACCCTGCCATGAAGGGAATTGAGTTGCGTCGATGGGCTCGATTATTTATTGGCCTTCCACGTGACCCTGAAAAATCGACAATGTCACGGTGGCTGAACTTCGACGATGACCATGACGATGTCCATCGTGGACGAGGACACCTGTGTTGCATGGTGCATGAAGGTCGGCCTCCTACCCAACGCCGCGACATGCCCCAAGTGTGACCTAGCCATGTCCTTCGCGTTGAAGTCCAAGCGATAGTGTTGCAGGCGTGCGGCGTGTGTAGGCGGCGGGAGTTTTGAGCGTGGAATGCGGTTTCAGTCGTGGTTCAAGGGTTCCAAAATCCCTATGGCGAACCTGGTGCGACATATGTTTGTTTGGGCGTAAAGAAAGCCCGTTGGCATAGTGATTGCCGAAGAAGAAATTGCGCGTGAGTCCGGTGTGGATTGGTACCAGAACTGCCGCGACCTGTGTTCGGTGGAAATGTTGCGTGCCCCAATGCTGGTATGTCGACAATATTGGTCTGTATAGCCCAATATCTATATAGTCCTATATCGATATAGACATATATATCCTATTCATTGTTGCGAGTAGGTTGGCTGCGAAGGCGTAATGGTCGAAATCGACGAGACTTCAATGAAGAAAATATGCAAATACAACCGCGGAAGGTACTACCCTGAGCACAGGGTATTTGGAGGGGTCGATAGGACAACGAAGAAATGGTTACAGGGGTGGACCGGACAAAACCAACGCTATCGCGGCTCATCATGAAGCACATTGCCCCAGGAACCAACATCATGTATGTAACTATATAGTTGTGTATATACAATACTATACATAGGCCCATATAGGCCTTTATAGATCACTATATAGTGTTATATAGGTCTATGTCGTCTAAAAATGCTTCTAGATCGGACAAGTTTGGCTCATACGTGTCGGCGAATGAACGCCACATCCTGACGAACAATCCACTGTTGGTCGACCAATCGTATGGTCACCAGTGTGTGAATCATTCAGCGAACTTTGTCAACCCAGCTAACGGCGCCCACACGCAATCAATCGAAGGCGTGTGGGAAATGCGGATCAAGCGCTTCTCCAAAGCGATGCGCGGGATACATAGGCCCCATCTGCCTTCATACAGTACCTGGACGAATATCTTTAGCGAAGCTAGTATTTTTCTCCAGGTGCGGATGGTAAGGCGTATTTTAAGGGCTTATTGTGTGCTATCCGTAGGCATCACCAGTACAGTAGTGTGATGGTGTAAAATAATCTGAACATTAAGTAGTACTATTAAAAGTACATGTATATAAGTCGTTATAGGTACTAATGTTACGAAGTATATAGGACGGTATATACAGTAATATATACAAGTAGGTCCTATATAGATATATATATATATAATATATATACTACACTATACTCAGTACAGATACAGCGTACAGTACTAGTGTACTAGTACACACTATTTGCAATCGGCCCACGTAAAGTTGATTTAAACAGCTACATATATAATATGCCTATCTAGCGTCATCGGAGGGTTAAACCGAATAGAGCCGAATTTTGGGCCTCACCACCAACATGAAGTGGCACCGTTTCGTACTACTGGTCAAAATATACTTTCCCGTGGAACTTGTGGTTTGTATGTCACATTACGCGGTCTCTATTTAATTTGAACGCTTCTCGTGTCAAACTAGTTTTTTCATCGATAACGTTATAATCATAGCCGCATCAGCTGCTTGGCAACTAGTCCATGCCCCCGACCGAGTCAGTTGATAACTGTGTGGTTTATAATCCCAAGTCACGTTAATAGTCGGCTTCGGGTATATTTAGCGGGCTGGCTAGTCGGACCATTGCCGAGCCAATGCCGCCTTGTCTGAGTCTTTGCGCTTGAGCGAGTCGGGGGTCTTGTCCTTGGGTGGGGACTTTGTCTTGGTGATCGACGCCCGCTGCTTGGTCGGGGGTGGCACTGGCAGATTATCCGCTATTGTCGGACTCGTGGCCAGGTCCAGGGGCAAGTGGGGTTCGCTGGCTTCAAGCATTTTCTTAAACTTGTGTTCGCGGGCGTCCATGATAGCCTGCAGCCGCGACGGCACCCCCGGAATCTTGACCATCACAAGGTACGCCACGGCCAGCAGCAGATGCTCCAGCACGATAATCACCACGAGCCGCAGCGTAAAGTTGAGGCAATAAAAGTTTGGCCCCATGACAAAGTCCACGAGCGACTTGCCTTCCTTGTCCAAATTGAACGCATAATCCTTGATGCACAGGTCGCTGTAAAACTCCATGCTCCCCGTGGACATGCACACGAGTAAGATCTACCATGGGTTTTCCAATATAGAAACAAAGAATATAAATATGTACAGTACGTACGTTTACGACCACGGCAATGTACGCAAACGTGCCAAAGATATCGCGCCACGCGCCAATTCCGTTGGCTTTTCGAGGAAATGGGCGCTAAACCAACAAGAACATAACGTTCAAAACTCGCACAAAGTAAATCTAGTTAATAAATAATGGAATATATTGTGAATTCGCCATAAACACCAAAATTTGCGTGGTTTGTCTAATCCATAAGATTGAATCACGCTGGAGTTGTGATTGGTTGAATATACTTGTCCTTCCTCTAAGAGCCAATCAAATATATCCACTCAAAATTGAATTACCCAATCATAGCGTCGATTCGTGATGCGAACTTCGATGATTCGACGGAGTCTGGAAATTTGTATTACCGAATCCACAATAAATGTAAATTCTAATCAAAAAGGATCTTTTCTAGCATTCCACTTATTCGGACAGATGATGACGAATGTGTGTGTGTGTAGTTAGCATTACCAAGTATGAACGGGCGATAAATATACAGTCAAAATCGTCCGCAACATGATATAGATTGACGATATATATATATATATATTCAAATCATCAACATGATATCGATTGACGATATATATATATATATATTCAAATCATCAACATGATATAGATTGACGATATATATATATATATATATATATATATATATATATACCTTGAGCGTACGACACAAGCGGTAGCCATCGGTTCGCACTTTGAGAAAGTTGATCAGCATGCATGCCATGGGCATGGGCGGCCACAGGATCGAGAACATGACGGTAAAGCCGTACTGTACGGTCAACTGGTGAAAGTCATTGTACGGGTCGTAGTGCGCTTGTTCGCTTTCAAAGAGGATTTCCCGGGCTTTCTGGTTGAGCGTTTCAATCTCCGCGGGCGTGTACTCGAGGTACCGAGACTGGTCCTTGTTGCCAAAGACCGTCGCGCTCCTATTGTCACATCGATTTTCGTAACTGGAGCCCTCACTGTCTTAGGAGAATGAATTCAAGAACCGCCAAAGCCAATCAAATCATCACGTTCTGGTAAATTACAGCCAATCCAAACAATTGACTCTGACCCTCGGCATTGGGCAAAACCATATACATACTAATATTTGTATCGTATAGTTTGTACAAGGTTAAATATTGGATCCCATGGATTCGATTTGCTCCCAAACTTGGGTGAAATGCACAATACAACCAAAAAATAATAGTTTTTGTGCTATTTCGAGTGAAATTTCGTGTTTCTCGTTGGAATTTCAATCGATTTGATTGGCTACTTCAGATGAGTTCAAAATGATGAACCAATCAAAACCCATTTCTCAATGAAATTCAACAACCAATCAGATCGATTGTGGATCGATTTGGTCGCGGCGCGATTATTCACCCAAATTTGTATATCAAATGGACAATAATGCCAGCAACTTACTTGCACACACATGTACGTAGTACGTACGTTTGGTCGTAGTCGAGGTTACCGAGGATTTTCATGGACCCGGCGTCCATCACGCGCTGGTGGGCGTCGGCGTCGGCGGCGGCGCGCAGCCGTTCCTGGCGCCATTTGCTGAGCAACGGCATGACCGTGTTGATTACGATATTGAGCAACTGCGTGACCACAATCGGCGTCACAAACATCGCGCTCAGGTCGACATGATGCACATCAAACGTAAACCAGCCCGTGCAAGGCGTGCATAGCTTGGACGCGTCACCGCCAGGACATCGACTGCATTCGAATGCAAATGGGCCGACTTCCTTCAGGTACGGGCCAAAGCAGCAGTTGGGGGCGTCGTGGAATAGCGCCGTGTTGAACACGTTCGTGAGCGCATCGCCCAGGGTCGGCACAACGTACACGAACGCAAGCGAAAAGAACCACGTGTAGTAGTTGAGAAAGTCCATGAGAAATAGCTTTCGGATGAGCGCGCGTTCATGCTGCTCCTCGGTGGGGTAGTTTTCCCACGTCGTGAACAGCCGCGCCATGTTGGTCACGACAAAGTTCCACTGGATCACGTCCACAAATAGCCCAAACACGATCCCTTCGGCCAATATCGCAAACCATTGAGTGGTAAACAACCCGCCCGCCTTGTACTTGTCCTTGAGCATCTCGTAGATGCTTACCCACAGCGCCACGAGCACGAGCATGATGGCGGTCTGCAGCAGCATGAACATTGCCCCTAGGACGTAGATCGGTCCGCGCCGCCACGACTGCGTCTGCTTCTTGGTCATCTCGCCCGTCAGCGGGTTCTCCACGTCTTGGCCATGGAATGACGGGTTCGGGTACTCGATCTGCTTGACGTGAAGCTTGGCGTTCCATGCAAACTGCATCGTCGCGTTCTCGCGGTCCCATGCTTTGAGGAACACAAACGACCAGATCACGGAGACCCCGACGCCCCAGAACGGCAACACGCGCATGTACGCGGTCGTGGAGATGGCCGAGTGCAGGATCTGCATGGCGATGCCCAGAAGCGCGAGCGGCAGCAGCGCCTTGTTGTAAAAGTGCATGAACGCAAAGTAGTACGCCACCTTTTCGCCAAAGTTGTGCCGAATCGAGTCGATAAACTGCCGATTCCGACGCTCCAACGTTCCAGGGAACGCCGCGACGTAGTTGGTCAAGAGCTGCGTCGTCATCTTGTTGTCGTGCACAGGAAACATGTCGTGGATCCACCGGTCCCGCGCCTTGCTTAACCCCGCGCGAACGTCCACGATGTACTCGACGATCTGGATGCGCTCGGCTGGCGTGATGGGACGCGCCGCGTGGTCCATAAAGTCCTGCGGCATGTCGCACACCCCCCCGTGGTCGACCCAAAGCTTGCGGCGAAACTTTTTGGCGTACGCCGTAGCCACCTCGTCGCTTGCGCGAATGAGGAGGATGAAAAAGTCGGACGTCAATTCTCCTGTTGAGTGACCGCCGTCGATGATGTCGATGGACAGACCTTGCGCACACAGCTTTTCCACGATGCGCCGATGTTCGTCTTCGCCGTCTTCAAGCAACGGACTGCTCACCATGCACAGCCGTCGAAACCCCAAGCGCTCTGCAGTGTTGAACGGCCAAAACCAACAACCCTTCGGCGACTGCTGCACGGATCGATGGGCGATTACGGCGAAGTCGTACGGCGCTTTCCCGCTGCTGGTCTTCAAGTCGCTCGGAGTCAGATACCGGAACGTGCCGACCGCACCCACATGCCGGGGGCTCTTGGAGTATGGAAGCGATGACTTGGTGAAGGTCGAGGTGGTGGGTGTGAGATCGAACATGCTTAGGGGGTTGTTCTGGATGTTCTTTCCTTCTTCGAGGTGGACTTCGCCGTCGCTGGAATCCATCTTTGTTGAATGCAGCAGTCCCACAGTTGAGATTTGGTCGCCGAAGGAACTACTACGTAGTACTTGAAGTAATAAATAATATTCAATTTTTAATTGAACTCTTTGTTTTTGTAATGTCGTGAACAAAATTAAAATAAAGATGTGTAACTCCTGACCTTGCAAAATCAGAATGTTGATCGTTGCACGCTCTGATTTCTTTAGTTTTCAAAAGTGCGCGCGAGACGCGCGATGCAGGCGCGATGGAGGAAGCGCAGAGGAATGCAGAAAGCAAGTGCATGCATGTACTATATACATCTGAAGTGATGATGTTTACGTCGTGGAGGGTACGCTATTCCGAAGCTGTTCTCACGAATCATGTAGGAATGCACGCTTGTGTCCTCCTCGTTAGTGGATGGACTTTCTGTGAGGTGACCTTCTTCCCCTGTTCATGCATGATATCAACAGATAATTGACGGCAAGTGATCCAACGAAGAAACTAATATGCGTCCGACGAGCACTCATCGAGTAGTATTGTCGCGGGACATCCGCAATTATGAAACGCTTCGGCGTTACGATTCAAACGACGCCAACTCCACCATACCGTGACCTCGGCCGGCTCGTGTCATGTCGTCGCCCGTGGAGAAGCGCCAAAACTCGTTGCGGTTGTCTCCAAAGCAGCACAGCTCAAGGGCAAACGTGTCCCGCCAAGGAGTACCCCCATCCCTGAAAGACCTGAAGTCGCAGTCCAACTTTTCGTTCCGAGGGTCATCGCACCTGGAAGCAGCCGTGATGGCCGTATCCGTCGAAGAGAACGATACCACGCCCCAGAATCCTCCAGACGGCAAAACGTTTGCTGCGTCGTACTGGAAACAGCAAGTCATCGCGTCCAAACGCAAGCTCAGCGCCGTGGTGGATCGCCACAGTCGCGATGTCTACGACGTCCATCACAAGCTACATCGAAACATTCCAGACGACACGCTGCCTCAAATTGATCATCTTGAATGCGCACGAGAAGCCACCCTCCGCAAAATCGTGTCCAAACCAGTCCCCAAAGGCGATACGGTGCGAAACAAACATCATTACATCCTGCAACATGGATCATCCCAATGGCTTCCACAGGTGCATGTCGACAGACTTTTGGACATCGCCGACGCTCGAGCGCTGCAAGTTCCCACCTCCCTCCACGCGCATGTGGTTGAACATGTCGAGGACCTCCTCGCGCGCTGTCGAGTCGCCCAAGCGCATGTACTATATGTATATGCCAGCATCTATCCTTCTTCAATACGTGTCCGTTTCAATGCTGACGACGGGAAATGGCTTTACATAGACCCTTTCAACATTGGCTCGTACGTCCGTTCCAGCCAGCCATCTAGTGGAAGAATACGACAGACAAAGCTCCGCCCTTCAAGCGCGCCATCACGACCTCAGTCTGCAATTGGCACGGTACTTTGGTTTGAGTGACCGTTTCTCGTAGAGTACACCTGTTCACGGCAGAGATTGAAGTGTTGTTGACGACGGGTAGGCTGAAGGCGAGCAACCCTGCCGTCGAAGCGACAGACCTGAAGCACTTGTTGCGATTTCAGGAGACCAAACACTCCGTCACGAAGCTCGCGACTCGCTTTTCCCAGCGTATGCACTGGCTTAGCCACAGTCATCGCAGTGCTATTTTGCGTCGGATGCACCAGATCCTCGTGCCCCAGTCATCGGCGATGGCAACTTCTGTGGACGTCCCACCAGTCGTTCAAGCCAACACGTCGACGCCACCCAAATTCATTCTGCAGGTATACTGCCAATATCTCGACTTCAAGTTCATGACAAGGCAAGACGTAGGAAAGTGCCATGGATTTGGCGATCGCGTCGTTTAAAACTAAACTAGGCATTGAGCAGCCCACGGCCTCTAACAGTGCCGACGATTTGTTGCAGCAACTGCGGCGTGACTTTGGTACTCTTTTTGCCCGACATGTGGCGCCGTATCAAAGCGACGGCATGGCTCGGAAGGCAACTCCCATGACGTCCTCAGTGGACAGCAGCGACCCCCACCGCGGCAGCCTCTTTCCCCAAGTCCCAACGTCCCAGCGCCAACAGCGGATCGGCCTGATGGACAAAAAACAGAGCAATTGCATGGTGCTGGAAGCCGAGTTGAAGTTTTGCAGCGCGTCGGAAGCCCAGCATGTCCTGGATCGCCTGGAAGGGCTTGCGGCGAGCCATGTCAAGCGCGCGCTGTTGACCATCGACGCGGTGGAACTGCGTTCGAATTCGGCGTCGCTCACCGACCGACTTGGCCTGGTTGAGCCGCCAAACGCGCCGAGTTTACCCGACGCCAAAGTCAAGGCGTATTACATCTTAAGGCTGCTCTGGATTCGGCAATGCAAGCATCGCATGGTGGGGTATCTCAACTACTTTCGGTCGATTGAAGCGCATGTCCTTGTCGACTGGCACGACATGGGACACGAAAACACGTCCACAACCACCACCATCGACCGTCCTACAAACGTTGAGCGGTTCTTTGATCGCGTGGACGACGCCAACGAAATGCAAATAGTCGACCACGTTGGACGGCCGTTCTTGTACTCGACGGCGTGGGACGAATTGATCGAAATTGAGCAAGACATGCTGTGCATTGGAAGCGCCGTGAGTTCGTTTGACGAGCGGGACACCCTCAAAGCCGGCACCGAACGCAAGGTCGTGACGGTTGTCGACCGGGTCAGCGTCCTCGGGGATTTGTACGAATGCGAGTCGTGGTACCTTGAAGCCAAATTCAAGCTCGTGCGACGTGTATTTGAAGACGTGTACATGCGCGCGTACGGCCACGATGCCCAGCGCCACGAAGCGCAAGCGTTGTTGGACCTTGTGGCGGCGCGGCCCTTGGTGGACTTGGCGGAGCGGTACTTCTGGGACGCATATGTGTCGCAAGTGATGGCATTGGAGATCCAAGCCAAGGCGCTTCGTGGTGTGGGTGAAGTCAACGCGGCGTTGGCAGACCCGCTGTTTACGACCGCCGAGGCCGCGGTGATCGTGCGCACGTCCACCCGACAAGCGATCGCGGCCATGGATATGTCCATGCACCACTTGAGTGTGATTGAGCGACTGGCGATGCATCGTGCAGTGCATGAGCAAGCGATGGTGTGCTGGCACGTCGTGTCCACGGAAGAGCGCGAATACGTGACGGCGTCGTCGACCATCCATTGTGCAGTCTTCACCAACTACTACTCGAAAGACAGCGGCGTGGGCACCCTCGTCGAGCAAGCCGCGAACGACGTGTATCGTCGCAACGTCAAGCACGACTCATTGGTCAGCGACCGCTCCATCCACGATCAAGTGCACCACCTGGGGACCGAATACGTAGAGACCCTGTCGCGTGCGGTATGGTTTTTCAAGTTGCAATGCGACCTCGCGCAACAAGTGTACGCGACGGGGTTGTTGGAAGCGCTGCATGCATCCCAAATGCTGCACTTGTACGTGGACGACGTCCTACCAGCGGGAAACCCCACCCATGCGTCGGTACTGGATCAAACGCCGGCGATCGAAGCGCTGCCGTTCGTGTCCGTGTTGCGGACAACATCGACACTCGAGTGGATCGGGATGCACTTGAACGAGTCGCAGCTCCGGTGGCTCACCCTGACCGTCCATGTCCAAGAGGCCGAACGCGTCTACTTGGAAGAAACGCTAGGGTTCAACGCGATGCTGCTTCAGCCGATCTTTGACTTTGAAGCGTCGCATCCGAAACTCATGGCCAAACACGTGGCCAAGTTCCTCTCCACGCCCCATATCAACCAAAATCACAAGAACTTTCTCGCGCAGGTGCAGAGTGTGCTGGGGCAACGCGCACTCCACGACAAAGTCACGACTCGCATCCAAGTGGAGCTCAAAGCCACCGCCGCCTTGTGTGTCCATGCCGACGCCCATCGGCAGTCCGTTCGAGCGCTTGTCACGAGCCGCGTCGACATGCACCCAGACGTCCCTATGACCGACCACATCGTCGAGTACATGACGGATCTGATGGAATCCGTCCAAATGGAAGGGCTCGTGACGCAGTTGAACGCGCACCTTGACACGATGCGGGTGATTTCACGGGACCTGCCAGCCTCGACCATCAATCCGTTCGTGGTGGGCGGGTTTGCCGACCGAGATACGCTTGAAGCGTGGCTGCTTCGGGAGTTGTCGCCCATGGAGGAGCAACTGGGGGTAGCCACTACGACCGTCGTCGTGGACGGTGTGAAAATGGCCAAGGGCGAAACCATCGAAACCTTGTGGTGCGCAGCCCAAGGCGATATTGTGAGCATGCAGTACATCCCCCACCCTTACGAGCTGCTCAAGCGGTTCACCAAGACCGACGTCGCCAACGGCCGCGTGGTCTTTCGCCTCGCTCGACAGTACGAGCCGGAAATTCGTCGGATCCTGGCGCTGTACACGGCGCTCGTGGCGGTGATCGACACGTTGGTGTTTCGCGCGGCGTTGCATCGGCAAGCCCCCGACGACGTCTTGGGCGGGGAGTTGCGCGACTTGGTACTACATATTGCAGTGTTTGTTTTTGGTGTGTTGATGACAGGGTCGTAGCTGCACCAAATGCACCACGACTGCTTCTCTCGACTCAACGACGTGGCGTCCAGTCGAGACTTGCGACACGTGAACGACGTCATGCTCGAGTGGTTGCAAACCAAGCGGGAATTCCTGCATGCGCTTCGAGCTACTGCGCTTAAAGCCATCGTGAACGATATTTTAGCAGCGAGTATCACGGCCACGCCCCGTGCCCCTTCGCTCGTGTGGCTACAATATTCGTTTCATGAAGGTACTCCACACATGGGTCGACTCTGTCTTGTGCCAATGTCATGTGGATATTATTATGTAGGTCAAGCTCTTGTCCGAAACGAAGACTCGAGATCGATCGGGTCTGCCACGACGCAATTCATCACGGGCCTGTCCACACACGATTGCACGGCCGCGAGACAATGGTGGAAGCTGTTGGAAACCCGGGCGAGTCCTGCTGGGGGGCTCGGCGTCGCCTATTTGAAGAAAATCGACGCGTTTCACGCCCTGCGGCAGTATTTCTTGCAGATTCCAGTCATGAAGGAGGCGTCCCAAGTGGACAAAGCGGTCGAATTGCAGGCCATCTTGGCAACAGAAGCAGTGGCCAGGGACGTGTCGATAACATCGGCCCACCGAAACTCCATGCCCCCGTCGCTCGAGTTTCAAGTGCCAGAGCCCGTCGAACTGGACCACATGATTGACAATTTACGCAATCGCATTGAACTCCATCTCGTGGACCAAGATATCGTGGACGTGCGGTCGCAGTTTGCGTCGGTGCTCAAGTCACTTGGCGAGAGCCCGTCGCCACGACGACAAGCGGTCGTCGTCGGTCAAGTACGTACATTGCTGCATAAATTGGAGTGGAAGTAGCGGGTTGACTGGATACATAGGCCAAGCTGGACCCCATGGGCATTTTCGTGAATCGGGTGCAGGAGACCGTCGAAACTGCAATCGCCAACAAAGAAAGCTACAACGTTGACTTGGCCAGTCTCTGTCGTACCTTCATGGAGGCGTACCAAGACAGCATCAACTTTCGCCAAGCGGCGACCACCACCCTAAACGTCCAATTGCGGCATCGCATTGCCGCCCTTGAAGACGCCACGTCGAGGCTGGAAAGCCAACGGCGCCGCCAAGATACGATCGCGGACCAAGTGTTGGCGACTAGTGTGGTGGACAAGGTACGTGATTAGATTAGTAGTCTCCACCAAACGATTTGAGCGTGTTGTGGGTACTTACTTGTCAGTCGTAAATAGTACGTTAGCTTAGTGTATGTATACTAGTATATAGACAGACTACTATGATGGGGTATTGTGTACATTAGGCGTACAAGATCATCTTTGAATTGGAGGAAGCAAGGCATGCGATAGACATGGCGGGCGAAGAACTAGACGTGCAAAAAGCCAAAATCATCTCGGAGATCCGATCCGAGTACGACTCCAAGTTGCGTGACATGAACTTGGAATTGATTCAAAAGCACGGACAGTTTGAAGAGTACCGGGCAGCAGTGCAGAACGTGAGCATGATCATGTATCTGTCTTTTCGTGCATATCCTGACTACTGTACTTGGGTCTAGGACTTGCGCGTGCAATTGCACGAAGTCCAAAAGTCGTCCGTGGGGAAATTCATTGAAACGGGCATCCCCATGCAAATCAAAAGCCAGCTCGTGCGGTCGATGCGGTCCAACCAGGAAATGGAGGTGTGTGTACCTTTATCCAACCATTTATATGGCTCATCTTTGCATTGTGGTAGAAAATCATGGAAGAAAACACTGCGCTAAAGCAAACGCTGATGAAACTTCGCACGATGTACGACCTCAAAGATGCCGCTACCCACGCGGCCCACGATAAGGCCGAGGCGACCCTGTCGGCGCAATTGGCCAAGGCAAACCTCGTGTTTCACCAGAAAACCCAAGTCGACGGACAGCTCGCAGCCACACAAACCCAAGTCGTGGCGTTGCAAAAGGAGTTGCTGCGAGCGCAATCGGTTACTCCGACTACCGCTTCAATCAGTGCCACCTCTGCGATACACAAGGAGCCAAAGTCCTCCGCAGTTAAAACCGCCTTGCACGTGACCAAGTTTGCCAGCCGGTTGGTGGCGCAGCAAAAAGCCAAGGCGGTCGTCGCACGAGCGGTCGGCGAGCCCATCGACGGCATGGACGAGTGTGACCACGATGAGGACGACGACGAAGAGGACGAGGAGGACCTGCAACCGCGAGAGGGCGACCGTCGGACATCGTCAAGTCCTCGACGCAACGACGATGCTGCTGTCCGCACCCGAGCACATTACATTCGATCGGCGCACCATCTGAACCGGGAGATCCGCCGGTTGCAACAGCAACTCGCCAAAGAAGTCAAGCTCAAAACAGCGGCCCTCGACCAGCTCCAGGCCGCGCGCGGTCACGTGCATGTCCAGCTCGAGCACGAAAACACTAAATTACACACGGAATTGGTCGACACCCAGCGACGCTATGTGGCGGCAGTCCAAGAGATTGGCGAGCTGCAGCACCTCATTTCCCCCGAGCCGTGTGGACATACCACCGCACGAAGCATGGCCGCCGCCGCCGCCGCGAGACATGCCCCTTCCCCGCTGTCCGCCGACACCCCCCGACGCCCTCGCACGTCCACTCCATCGCGACCACCCCAAGCTTCGTTTGTCCGTCCCATGACATCGACAGGGTACTCCAACAAGGGCGGCGCGCGCAAACTCAAATGCTTCTCCACCACTTTAAGCACTATGGAAGTTGAACACGCCACCAGGGGGACCAGCAACAACAGTGACATGGTCGACGCTCCTACATCCACCACAACAACAGCCCCTCAGCGACCAAAGTCGGCAGCCCCTGCGGCAGTCTCGAAATCGACACCTCGAAAGTACGACGTCGTGCTACGTCGAGATGAACACATGCAGCCGCAAGTGGAAGGCACGGCGCAGCCGTTGGCCACGCGCATGCGCCCGTTGTATCGATGAACAAACGACAAGGAAAGATTCAAATATATAGACATGGACCCAACACACACAGGACCGACGAGTTACGCGCCGTCTTCCCAATCGCCTTCCATCACAGCGTCGTCGTCGTCGTCGTCTTCGGACCTGCACACCATGTCGTCGTCGTCGTCTTCGTCGTCGTCGTTGCCGTTGATGTCGTGCACGGCGCTCCTGGACATGCACGTAAAGTACAGGATCTTCTTGAGCTCCTTGTTGTAGAAAAAGTAGTTGAACGACCACAACGTGCCGTCGCTGAACGGGTCGGAGCATCCGTCCATGTCAGGAATGTAGGTGTACACTTCACAGTCGGTCGGCGCGATCGCGGCAACGATCGACTCCCATAGCTTCTCGAGGAAACCCACGTTGTCCATCTCGACGATTTCTGCCAGTTGTGTGTTGATAGCGTTGACCACCGTGCGCATGTCGACTTCTTTGTGGAACTGCTCGGGTTTCAGGTCGGAAAAGTCGTAATCTGGGAACGACGCGTTCATGGTCGATATCAGGTTGATGAGCAGCTTGCGTGTGTTGGAATCGGCCAAGTTGCCGATGGAGATGTTGTTACTTGCCGCGACCGTGGCGCAATTGCTTGACGGAGTCGAGTTCTGCTGTTGTTCGACGACGTCGTTGGAGTTGCTGGTGGACTGGTACAACAGCTCCAAGGACTTGGCAAGTTTCTTGTCCTGTCCCGCCTTCTTGCACGAGAAGCACTCCAGGCGCCCATTGATCACGCGGTCGCCGACACAGAACTCATTCAGCGCCGCATTCGCCCAGCTCAGCGTCTTCTCTTCGAGGTACTTCATCTTGTTTTCGCAAACTTTGAATTTTGAGCCGCTTTTAGATGTTGAAACCGCACCGCTTTTATATAACCGTGACAAACCACTTGAGATTTGTATACTCGATATAAAAATAAGCGCCCAAAAAGGGTGTGCTGCTGGCTCTATGGGTGTATAGAAATTCCAAGTCAACGTGAGAAGTATCTTGCAGATTCCATGAACGTTATCCGGAAAGCGGCCACTTGAAGTTTCGTAACCGAAAAGGGACGGGTAAGAAACATTTAACAGGCAGGCCAGCGGAGAATGTACAAATTTTGGTCATACTATGATTTTCAAACTTCGTCCACAGGGCTCAGTAAGCCACAGAGATTTCGGAATGTGTCCTTGACTATTCGGCCATCTTCACATGCCATTTGCACGCTTTCGGAGCCCGGAACAACCGTGAAAACTTGCATGGCGCATGGGCCCTCGATGGATTCAACGGCAGTCCCTGCGCGTGTCATTGGACACGTTTTGGTTCTTTCTTCCAATGGAATGCCAGTAAAAATGTCAGTAACGTTTTTGCATACTTTTAGAACTCAAAATGGATTAGTCAGATATTCTTAGATAATCAATTATCCTATATATTGTTAATAACCACTCTGGCCTTTTGCGGCCGAAAGGCTGTTCCCACAGTAGCTCAAATCTGATTTTAATCAGAGTTCGCATTACAATGCGTACTTTCGTATTGATAATACTACTGTACTCGGACGTCACATCTGCACTTTGTTCCGATTACTCTCCAATCCAGGAAGTAAACCCCCATTGTCCCAAGCTCGTTGGAATAGAACAGCGAGGTTGAATCATCGAGAAACAGCTCCAACCGAGTTGAATGACGTGCTCCCACAAGATACGGCGATGCTTCACTTGCCGCCATTGTCCCGTTGTTGACTGCGAGGACGCATGTAAATGCGCTTTAAATCCTTTGGTCTTGGACAGCCACAAAGAGCTTCGTCAACAACCAAAGCAAACCACACGTTTTAGAGGTATTTCTACGTGTTGTTAATCTGAATGCCTTTCAATTCATCAATACAGATTCCCACTCGCGCCGTGAGTCGTATGGTACGGCAACCCAGTCACCATACAGGACTCCACTCGGGAAGTCCGTTTTGAATGCAATCCAAAAAATCGATGTCAAAGTCGGCGGACACGTCCCCCGCCGCGAAAAAGAATGGAGCGCAATGACAGACAAAGCAAGAAGGTCCACGTTGGTGTGCTTTCACGCGGCAGTTACGAATCAAGCTGAGGTTACATTGACTTATCTTTTGACCTCATCTTGAAATAGACATTCCACGCAGTTGACCCGGGGCTTCTTGTGGAGAAGTTTGTCGAGAAAAAGTCGGAATCGCTGTCGTTAGAAAATGAGAAGCAAGCCAAAGTCTTGGTTGATTTGTTATGCAAGTTAAATTCACATGAGGTATAATTATGAAGTATTTTAACGGTATGATAAGCTTTTAGGCTGAGTATCTGACTGTTCGAAGCCTCCTTTGCCGCGGTGTACCGACAAAGTCAACTCTCGATAATATGCTACAAACCAAGCCGATTGAACTTGGAAGGAGGGCATTTTACACTGGTAGGCAATTCATTTCAGGGGTGTTTGAGGCCTCACAATCATAGCACTGAATGATTATGAGCTACTCAGCCAAGGCAAAGCGATCAAGCGAGCCAAACGAACGGCTCAGAATTTCTCTGCTGACAACGCGAACCTCGTACTCGACTACCTGCTTTCCCCTGACAACGTACAGCTGATGTCTTGGGGTACACGTAAAGTAACAATCGAGGGGAGAAAGGTAATGTGGGCGTGCACGTGGAACTGCTTCTAACAATACCTTACAGACAACTCTTCCCAACATCATCCGAAAAAAGACTTGTAAACAGATTTGGCTCGACTACTCTGCACGACACCCCGTTCGAACGCAACGAATTAACTATTCCTCGTTGAAGAAATTCGTCGCCCTCGCCATGCCACAACACGACCCAATCATTAAATCCGTCGACTATGTGCGCGCAGAGCTAATATACGAGTCGTTTTCTATGATTCGGTATGCCATATCCACTTCCCACATCTCATTCATCGTTAATGCCGTTAGAGACTTGATTCAAGCAACGATTATTGACCGCGACGAACAAGCACGTATTCATAAACTGATCGCTTTATGCGAGAATTTTTTGAAATACCAATACAAGAGCCACGTTGGGCGCGCCGGTCGCAGCCATTGCGTCAAATTCGCGCTTGGGGTCGACGCATATTTGCCGTCAATTGACTGTAGCGAATGTCTTGCGGTCGAACGCTTCTACGCGATGTTGACGGACGCCATGGCCGCCGATTCCCACCGCAAGCTGGTTGGAGACTGCGCACTCAAAGCCAGACTATATATGGGACACACTATGCGAGCTGTTAACCAGCAACTTCGGATCGACGTGAGTGGTGGCGTGTATTTATAAAAATGTTTCAATTGATTATTAGCATAGAGTTTCAGAATTTTTTCAAACTCGAAAGTATTTATTCTCGTCAACATCGATATATGTAGGAGGTGATTCGACATATGGCGCACAATGAAGTTTACATCGTTCTGGACTACAAAATGAAGCTGGATCCGATGTACCCTCGCGAGACAACGATTCAGCACTACGGCAAGCGCGGCATCAGCTGGCATGGGGCGTGCGTGATATACAAAGGTTTGGATCTCAGCAACACTGTGTCAATTTGAAATTTTCGTAGACTCTCAGAGCACGCACAATATGCGGTATATGGATCATTTGATCCACAACGACAACCGTCAAGATCCAGGGTCCGTTCTGGCCCTGATGGAGCTGATTCTCCTTCAGGTCAAAACTGAGTTTCCCACAACTGCGATGGCGTCGTTCCAATCGGACAATGCGTCTACCTACCAAAACCAGTTTTTGCCCCTCTATTTGAAGGACATCTCGATGTCAACAGGGATAAAAATAAAGCGGTATATTTCATGTCGTTCGTAGTGGATTAACCGCTTCATAGGTTCATCCACACAGAAACTCAAGATGGCA